GATTAACTAAATATAGATATTCAACGTATGCAGGAGAAACTGACAGAGGCAAACGAGAGCGAGGGTCGCGACCTGCTGAGGCCATCTCTATTCCCGATCCTGCTGCTGCTGGCCAGGCTGTACCCCTCCGCGCTGGAGGGCACCGTGTCCAACCTCAAGGTGAAGGAAAGAGAGATGAGGTGTACGGTGAGAGTGCAGAGTGCAGAGTGCAGTGAGTGAGCGTGGTGTGTGTGCAGGTGTCAAGGTTCGTGTGGGTGGTGTCGGCGTGTGCTCGCAGCGGGGTGCTCAAGACGCGTCAGCTGGCTGCACAGGCTCTGCTGCCGCTCCTCTCACCTCACATGTTAGATATTCTTTATATACCTTTCTTTCTAGCCCTCTACTTACGTGACCATTATCGTCCTCGGGGAATGAAAAAAAACTTAATAAGTAACCTATGTGTTCTTCCATATATGTTCTACATCTATGCCATTCTGGAGATGGTACACATCTATCCATCCATCCAAACATTCGCTTTTATAATATTAGAAAGACATAGTAAGTATTAATAAACATAAGTTAGTTGAACCTAGTTGATACAAGGATGTACGAAACTTGAGTTTATGTATTAATTTATTACGTTATATGGAAGTAATAAAATATATACTGTATATATATATATATATAACATTTCAGGTACATTCAACATATTGAAGAATTGTTGACTTTAATAAGTGATCAAAATATCAAAAGGAATTACTGTCACGGTACACTTTTGCAGGTCGGTCATTAACATATTTTTACCATTTTTTAATTTATTTCAAAACTAACATTAGCTATTTTCCATTAAATCGATCCAGTTTTAGAGATTACCCGGAACAAACGTGACCTTGCGGACACGTTGACAGACCAATATTTTTTTAAATTGTTTTTTCGTTATTAGTAACGTAAATATTCCATGTTCGCGAAATATCAATTTCTTTTTAATATTACATACAGACACACCAATTTTATTAATTATATAGATATAGATTATGCAATTTGCAGCTATAAATTAAGCTTTGATAGACGAGAAAATATGAAGATATGAGTAAGGAGTATGATGCAGGTGACAAAGCTGCTAAACAACAGACCTGACAAGTTGTCAGTGGACGAGACGCTGACAGCTCGTCTGCACCGCACCATCCTGTGCACCAGCTGGGTGCTGCAGCAGGCCACCGGCCCGCAGCCTTGCTACCTCATTGCTGATGAGTACAACAATATGATCAACCTCATTATTTGGAAGTAAATTATTCTTATTAGTTTTGTCCAATGTATAGTTAACTAGCTGTCGCTCACTACTCCGTCGCTGCGAAACTAAAAAAATCTTATTTAGTAACCTATATGTTCTTCCAGACGTTCTACGTCTTTGCCTAATTTCACAGAAATCCGTTCAGCTGTTTTGGAGATACGTAATAACAAACATCTATCCATCCATTTAAATTTTCTTGTAAAATTTGTTTTGTGTTATTATTTTCAAAATACACACACAAAATATCAAACACTTATCGCCTACAAGTATTTTTTGTCTAGAGATATCCATAACTTTTTTATATCTTTTTCAGATTTCCATCACTTATAGACACGAATACTATTACAAAAATAACTTACTATCTAGATGTAATGCTGAGTAAAAGTAAAGATTTAACAACCCCTGTGTCCGGGAGAGACATGTGTCTAGCCAGTGCGGCCAACTTGTCCTACGTTATAGTTAGTAAATACAGACAAACTGATGATCTAATCAAACTTATATATAAATTATTATCACATTATAGCTACGAAGTGACGCTAACTGCTTTGAACTATCTTCTCATCTTAAATAAAGATTTCGAAATGGAGGACACGTTTCAGGAGCATTTAAGTATTTTAGCAAAAGATAAAAACGTAATAATCGAATTGAGAAAAGATGAAAATTATTCCAAAATACTGTACAAAGTTTTAAGAACAACGAAGTATTTGGAATGCAAACAGAAATGTCTCAAACTGTTGTCTTTGGAACAAAATACGTACAAGTATATGATACAAGATGACGTCGGCGAGGTTGATGACGTCAGCGAGGTAGACGATGACGTCATAGTGCGCGAGCTGACGCGTCTGGTGAGCACACAGCACGAGAACATGACGCACATCTACCTCTACAGCCTCACCTGCTTTATAACTGATAAAATAAAGGAGCCACAAGTGAATGGAAACATAATTATCAAGGGAATAAGGACGATATTCGAGTGCAGCACATCGAGCAACAGTATCAGCACCAGGAATGTGGTTGCTAACTTTTTAGAGAACAATTTTAAATCATTCATTGATTTGGAATTTAATGATTTGAGCGAAGAAGACAAATGTTAGTATTTTTATGTTTGTTAGTTTCAATTTTATGGTAAAGAAAAAAAGTATAAATGAATCCTTGATATTAAGTGACCACTGGACAACAATATAACGACAAACATGGCTACCATTTTCTAATCTCTAGTTAATATTCTCCCTTAACTTTGTATGCATTAATACAGTAACATTTTGATACATGTTTTACAGTTGAGTTGGAAGCGAGGTTGTGGGCGAGCCTGGTCCTGATGCTGGAGGACGAGGAGGAGGCAGTGCGGGGGGCGGGCGCGCGGTGCGTGGGGGGCGTGGCGAGCGGTGCGGGGGGCGTGGCTGTGTGCGCACGCGCGGGCGAGGAGCTACGTGCGATAGTGTCGCGGCGGAGGCACGGCGCGGCGCTGCTCTGTGTGCTGGCGCTGCTCGACTTCAACTGCGAGGTCTGCCTGCCTGACTACACGCTAGACGAGGTGATGCACCATGTTATTTAACATCAAACAATACAGTTATAAAATTACGTTTCGTTGAATATCACAAGTACTAAACTCAATGATTGCTGTAGGTTCGCGTGTTCGAGCAGAACGAGAAGTACAATGTGTTCCTGGAGGAGACGGTGTGGTCTATAGCATGCGGGGAGGCGTTGTGTGCGCTGCAGGGGGCGTGGTCGCCGACCTGTGGGGCGGGGCCGGAGGGGGCGTGCGAGCTGGCAGTGCGCCTCGTGCAGCACCCGCACTACGCGGAGACATTCTCCGAGCTCTGTGGTGCACATTTGAATGTCTTCTTAAGTTTGGCTGCTGGTGAATGTTGCAGTAGTGATGTTCCTAAAATTGATCTGTTTGTAAAGACTCTGAGAAAGTAGCTCAGTAGATCAAGGATCGCTATAAATAGATAGGTAACTTGAATAGTTCAATCCTTTGTATGTATATATAACAATCTATTTCTACATATTTGTGTGATCACATAGAAATGTAAGTTAAAATGACATTTATGTTAATAGTTAAATATTTAATGTTAATATCTCGCTGACATCGGAAATGATGTTTTGCTGAGAATTGTACATCGTTGTGACTTATCCAAAATGTACGATTTTTATGTCTCCATATAAATAATATAAATCTATGTAAATTAAACAATTAAATCAATGTTTAATTATTTATTTACAATTTCCATCCATTAATTTTAGTAAAAAAATGGGGACGCTGTTCCGATTATAAAACACAATCAGTCACAAAGTAAATATAATTATTTACACAACTTTTATTTCCTTTCACTTTCACAATTTTCTCATAACTTTTTATATTAATTACAGTTCTATATTGAATTGATAAAAAAGTTGTAAGAAAATAACAAGCTTAATACACATTGTGTTCAGTTTTTCAACAATCTAATGATTTTTTCTATAACTCTATGTACGAGGTTCCACACTTTAATAGTGAACACATTACCTGAGGACGCATCACATCACTCTTGTATTGTATTTCTCAAACTAAACAAACACATGTCCGATCATACAATTTTATTTCTTCTTATTCTGTAAACTTCATTTGCTATTTGACTATTCTTAAACTTTATCTTCTGTTCTTTTTTCTCTACAGTCACTCTGCTCATTTCCTTCACACTCTTATCCACTTCTGCATCAGTCTTCTTCGACTTTGTAACTGGTACATCCTCGTCATCTTCATTGAACAAGTCTTTGACTGAGACTAATCTGTGAGAGTTGCCGACTTTGAGGAGTTGCTTCAAACTTCTAGAGTCCTTCCTCTCAATCAGCCGCAGCACTCCCCAGTCGTCACTCTTCTTTCCCTCCAGGCCTTCTTCTAGAAGCCACGCTGCATTCCTCACTTCGGCACGGAGTCTTTCGCACTCTTCGTAACTCACATTTCTGCTAACATTCAAGGCTTGCTCTAGAGGATTCACTATGTACAGAGGTAAAGCATTTGGTTTTCTGATGGGCACTCCTTTATTGATGGAGATGGCGTACTCCTTGAAGTCGAACTGGGCGTAGAACTCGAAGAACTGCAGCAGCAGCGTATGCAGGTCCTCGTCGCTCTGTCCGTACTCCTCATGAGGGAGCTTGTTCAGATCTCGCAGGAATGTGCAGTTGATGTTCTCTTCCGCTATCCTGATGTCCTCTTTACCTGAATACAATAACTATCATTGTAAATAAGATTGTTTACTACTTTAGCCACAAAATTTTTAAAGAAAACCTTCTCAATGTTGCAGCTAGCATTTACTTATTTTTTTTTTTCAATTAATCGACTCTTACAAATCTTTCATTCATAATTAAAATCATGAAATTAACGAAAAAAGTTTTTAACATGGTTATACGAAAAAAATATTACCAGCTCTATCAACTAAAAGTTTGAGTGAAGGCAGAATGAAGCCGGACTTCCTCTTCTGCTGCAAGAAGAACAGCACCATGAGGGTGAGGGGGAAGTTGGTGATCCAGCGGCCGGGGTGGGAGTTGGTGAGGCCCACCGCGCTCGCCCAGCGCCGCACCACGAAGATCAGCGGCCGCACGCGCGGGTCCAGCGCTCCCAACTGCCACAGTAACTCTGACATGTACACCCCAGATCTGTAATAACAAGTAAATAACTCATTTAAGATAACCACTATTAATTATATGCCAACGTGCATACAATTAGGTTGAAAATAAAGAGGGGTCTACTAGCAGTACTCAGACACAGAAAGGCCGAACACATCCTCAGTTTATTTAAAGTTGTTGGTGTTCATAAATATTGCTGATCACTTAGAATTGTATCCGCACTCAGTTTGCCCGCATTTGGATATACTGACGTGTTAGATGCGGCGAGGTCGCAGTGCAGTGCGGCGAGGTGATGCGTGCACTTGAGGATGGGCACGCGCGCGGCCAGCACGCGGCGCACCGCCCCCGCTCCCGGCACGCGCAGCTCCAGCAGCATACCCAGCAGCTCCAGCTGCCGCGCGCCTCCGCGCCCGCCGCCTGCGCACTCCTCGCGCTTCTCCTGGTACACCAGCCGCCGCCGCGCGTCGCTCTGACAATGAATTCCATTGACCATTGAGACACTTTAATTGACTAATGCATACTTTTGAAATATAAACAAACGCTTTGCATTAACAGCCTCACATGTATTATTAAAAAATCATAACAAATTTTTCACAGTGAGATAGTCTGATATGTAACTCACCATTTCCTCAGTTATTACATTGCTAAGGACCAGATCTAGGTCACAACCCATCCGACCATAGCCATTCACGGAGGAACCAAACGGTTGCACGGCCACATTTGCATACAAACTCTTGAATATTATTTCAAACTGAAACCATAAGATTGAGTTAACATTTTCAAAGTTAAATGAAATGCTGTCAAATAAAAAATCTATACAAGATTTTCAGTTTTCTAGTAAGATAAATAAAGACTGGTAATTATAAATATATTCATGAGTAAAATTCTTGTTGCTACTTGATACTTTCTAATATCCAATGACAGATTTATCTCACCTGCCTTGCTACCATATATCGGAGTCTTACACCTAAGTCATTCAGCTTAGTTCTCTCATACAAGTGTTGTATTTGTTGTGTTACTGTCTCACAATTTAACAATTCCTCGTAAAGCAAATCATCATCAATTGGCTCAATACCATCTTTTGTAGCAAGTTTTTTTGTTTTCGGACAAGTGTGTAACTCTTTTTTATTCACAGCAGCTCTGAACCAAAGGAAGGGAGACTCGATGGGCATCACATCTACATCCTTTTGATGAGAACTACATGCTTTTATAACTTCTTTAACATTCTCTTCTGTTTCAAATTCAATAAGCATAAAATGCTGAAAAAAGTCACAAATATTTTTTGTATTCTACTCTAGTTGTTTTTGTTTTCCAACTTTATATTTAATATGCTAGTTTACAAATAAAATTATCATCATCTCACCTCTTTTTCTGAGTTTCTATAATGGTGTATGTCTTTAATTGAAGCATATTTTGAACAATAACCATATAGTTCATTGAATGATGTTTCAGAATTAACCTGAACTACGAGACTGCGACGAGCCTCAGCTTTTCTTTGAGCTATTACATCGCTAAAACTTTTAAATTTTTTTACAGGATCTGAAAAAAGACTTCAAGACATAACCTCGAAAACAATTATTTTAAATCCATATGTTAGTACAGTACCTGAGTAGTTTCGTATAAATAGTGAGTTGCAAACAGGATTATTTAAACACTTTCGTATAATAGAAAATTTCCCAGTTTGAAAAAATACAGTCATTTTTAAATTATAAACTCAAAAACAAAACATCAAACCTTAATGTGACATTGTCATTGTCAAGTGTCAACGTCAAAAATGTATCATAAGTCCAAGAAAAATACGATTGATTTCAAATATTTTGCAAAACATATATTCAGTGCTTTGTTTTCATGTTGAGTAGAAAAAGTGTTTTGCAGGGTTTTCCAATTAACTTTCCTTTGTAATTATTTTTCAAACACGATTTTGGTACGAATTTATTTTCCAAAAATTTACTCTTTGATAGATTTCCTTGCGTTCACAATCTTTAAACTTTTTGTTTTTATGTCAACTTGATAACATATGTCAACTGAGAACAAGAAAAATCTAAAAATTAAAACAATATTTAATTTATGTAAGGACATTCAGGTAAAGAACGATCATTCTCATATATTATGCATAATTGAACAAAAATGGGCACTAGACTATTGCAACGGTTTCTTCCAATTATAAACAACACCTTCAGAAGTCGTTCTAACCTCAACCGACATGGAGAGAGAATTATATATGCGCCGACAAATTTTATTGCAGTTAGAAACTATGCAAAGGGCAAAGACAAAGGTAAAGAAAAAAAAGGTAAAAGTACGAAAATAGAAATCAATCCAGCTATGATGTCAGAAGTAGTTGCTGTAGATAAGATTCAGGAACGATGCAAAGCTGCTATCGAGAAATTAAAAGACGATTTCGCCAAAAATTTATCTCTCAGATCCACAACGGGTTCAATAGAATCGTTGCCAGTAAAGTTTGAGGGTAAGGAATATGAACTCCAAGAGCTTGCACAGATTGTACGTAAAAATCCAAAATCAATAGTAATCAACTTTTCATCTTTCCCGCAAGTTATACCAGATGCACTAAAAGCTATAAGTAAATCAGGTTTGAACCTGAACCCTCAACAAGATGGTACAACACTGTTTGTTCCTGTACCTAAGGTAACAAAAGAACACAGAGAAGCATTAGCTAAGAATGCAAAAGCTTTGTACATAAAATGCAGGGATTCCTTGAAGGATGTCCAGAATGACTTTATAAAGAAAGTAAAAAAACAGACTGGAATTTCAGAAGATCTTGCATTCAATGTGACAAAGCAAATAACAGCCATGTGTGATGATTATCAAAATGAGGCAAAAAGCATTTATGAAACTAAGCATGTTGAACTTGTTGGTAAATAGTTATAAGAGCAAACACTGCCAGTTAATGTTTATTTTTTTTTAGATAGATAGTGAAAACAATACTGTTTTACTTGTTATGAATCAAAGAATTATGTACACAAGATGAATTAATAAAATATTGTGTCCTGCAGCTTAAAGGTTATTTTATTTTGTAAAAAAATTCAAAATTCAATTATCATATATGTATGTTTCTGTATTTCATTGCTAATGCATTTTTGCCAGGTGTTTTACAAATTTTAATTTATACTGGGTTCTGAGATTATACCCAGGTGATAATGAAATTTTCATGATATTTGTAATTATTCGGTATCAGTATGGTTCCCAGTATATTGTTTGTATTACAAAAACAAAATAATCGTTATACTTGAAGTAATAAAAAGGAAAATAATTATTTATTATAATAAATTTAGTAAATATTTCAATAATAAAAAATAATAATAATTATAGTTATAGTTGCGTTACATGTTATATAATATAAGCATATGTTATTGGTGTCCAATAATAAATATTTCTTTTATTATAAAAAAGAGAAGTTGCAAAAATAGAGAAGATTATGACATTTCTTGTGCAGAAAAATATGAATCAACCATAGACATATTTCAATGACAGTGACAACTGACAACTCCTCTATGTCAAATGTCAATTAACGAGGGCACAAGGAACAGTTGTTATGTTGTGTTTGAATAGTTGTTTTGATCTAATAGGCTTTTGTATATTTACTTATACTTTATTAAAATGAGTAGTGGTCAAGATAAGAACATAAAAGGCTACGGTAGGGTCATGTCTCGTGTGTATAATCGTTCCCATAGCAATCTTAAAGCAACTTCTAGTGTTTTGAGTCATGTTACATCGACAAATTCTGGCGCGAAACGTCCATCTGTTTCGAGTGTTAGGACTGGGGTTTTCAGTGATTTACCGATTGTGCTGAATGATTACGTTCCCGATACAGTTAGTAAAAAAGACTTGAAACAAAGTACTGTGGTTAAACCGAGACGAACTTTAAAATCTTTGGTGCCAGGAAAGAAGCCTCTTCTTCGTGTAGAGAGAAATATTAAGTACAATGAAACTAATAGTTCTTTAAACGTATGTGCATCTGCTCCTTCTGTATTGGGTCGAAACACTGAAAGTTGTCCTGACTCACATGTTAGACACTGTTTATCAAGCAGGTCTCACTCTAGACTAAAGGAATTAAAGGTTTGTATAAAATCGTAACAATTCACAGAAAAACAAAGTCGTTGTTTCCACTTATTTTTACCTCTATTTTTAGTAAATTTTAATCATGAAATACCTACATAACATAGCCTGTTATTTTTGTAAGAAAAAAACGACTATAAAATATGTGTTTAAATATTCTTTGAAATTTAAAGTAAAAAACTTTCAGGATGAAATAAAGTCATATCAAGATACTGAACAATTACTGAAGCTGAGAAGTAGACTGTACAAGAGATGTGGTGTTGTGTTAAATGATGTGGGTCGGGTGGCTGAGGACAAGGCTGTACAGGCTGAGGACATAGGTAACATATTACATTAAAACACAGAGAAAATACTATAGAATAGAATTGTAAAGAGAAAGGCTGCACTGATGTAACATTACTTTTTATATTGTGGTCAGAATGGTGAATATATCAAATAATTAAAATGTTATATTTTGCAAAGGTGTATATTCATAATGATAAAAATTAACAATAATAGATTTATGAATAAGATTTAAATATGTATTTATTTTAAAAGCCATGGTAATATTATCTTAAATAATTTCAGTTTTTCAATAATTGTTTTTGTGGGCATAGCAGCGCCATCTAGTGTTTAAAAGTGTCTGAAATTATTCTGAACATTTGACATAGATGGCACTAGTTGCGCTGCTAAATACGAAATTAAATATGTCATTTAATTGAAGTAAATTATAGTTTTGGTCAATAAGTAATAGTAAATGTTGAGTAAAGTCTACTTGATTTGATTAACATTGCTTCGATTCAATTGCAACAGTTTTCATTTTTCGTTATCACTCTCATAGCCGAAATAGCTCAGTTGGGAGAGCGTTAGACTGAAGATCTAAAGGTCCCTGGTTCGATCCCGGGTTTCGGCAATCCTTTTTGCGTTTTTCTCGTGTTGTTTACTTACGTTGAAAAGTTTTTGCTCACCAGATTTTTTGCTTCAATAATGAATCACAAATCTTTTTGACAGTATTACGCTGGTACAAAAATAAGAGTACAGTTGTTTTAGTCAGTAAATCATAGGTATTGGAAACTTTTGAAAACCTTGTTTATTCATTGATTATCCTTAAATAATTGTGTAAAAATATTTTACAGATGTCAAACAAGATGACTTCAGGTAAGTGAATCACATTTATTATTCTATAATTTCCATTAAATACTTTTAAAAGAAGTCAGTAGGTTTTTGTGTTCGTGACTTAATTTTAGTACTTGATGGTGTATTATTATTTCGCTTATTACAACATCGCCTCTTTAGCTCAGTGGTAGAGCACTGGTCTCGTAAACCAGGGGTCGTGAGTTCAATCCTCACAGGAGGCATCATGACTTGTTCTATTTTTTTAGACATGATAATACAAAGAAAGTAAAAAAGAATATTTTTTTAACTTTTACCAAATTAAACGTCGAGATATTTTTTAATTTTAAAACAAGGCAACGCCATTTAGTCGTTGCAAATGTTGTATTGGTACCAGAGTTCCACGCTAGATGGCGTTAATAAGTAACGTTTAAGTTTGATATGTTTGATAACAAGTTTTTGTGTAATAATATATTAGATTTATGTGATGAATATTGACACCTAGGTAGAATATATAGTGCCACAATAGCGAGGAACACAAACACGGGGTGTCATTTCCGCTTCCCGCGCGAACCTGGCACTACGCCAAGCTATTCCGTGGTGTGGTGTCATACTTTCCATTCGTTTCGTTTCGATTTCACAGAAACAACAGGAGATGTTAATTGATGTGTGTCGAAAAGAAAACATAAGCGTACAGATGATTTACATCAAAAATAAGATAAGCAAAACTAACAGCTATAAGTGCTGCCTCAGTGTTTCCTCAAATTATTATTAACACTCTGATGTTGAATAATGTCAAAGTTTATTAAAATACATGAACGAAGCGCAGTTAAGTCCCGCCCCTATATGCCCTTATTTAGCCAGGCAAAGTCTGACGCAATCCATATATTAATGACGCACCTTTGTTCCAAGCCCTTTAACAAGGGAACACACTGCTCTTTCTAACATTGATGTTATGAAAGAGACGGCAAATCGTTGATTTATATTTAAGTTGATATGTTTTGAATGCAGATGCAGATGTTGTTAGCCAAACAATTGCACTCTCTTTGCACCGGAACAAATCCTTTGCCAAATCGATTATTGCGCAAGTTCCGAATGCTATATGTGTCTTTGTACATATAACTATCATTACTGTTTCTATATCAAAATCACAGACTTCTGGGTTTTTTACTTTTTTTCTTATCAAATAATGAAGTCGCTGTCGATGTGAAAAGGCATGAAGGGACCTTTTACAGGTGACCAAAAGACATTGACTTTGACAACGATTGCAGACACGTTTATTAAAACCCAAATATAATGTGCAGCGCTTAGCATTAATACATATCTTGCTAATATTATAAATGCTTAAGTTTAGATAAATGGTTCGATGGATTGATGAAATTTGGCATAGATGTAGGACATATATGGAAGAACACATAGCCTACACATTAAGCTTTTTTTTTAATTCCGCGCCGACTGAATCACGGACGACAGCTAATTTTCCATATAATTCCGTCCGCTCAAATTGTTATTCTAGTAAACATTCTAATTAACGCCAGAATAAAAAAATTCGTATGAAATTACGTGATTAAAATACGGAGTTGTCTGATCTAATTAAAATTATCGAATCCGCGTGGAAGTTATAAAATGGTCGTGTGAATTCGAGAATAACGCAACGACTCACTTGGATTGTCGCCAACTGTTACAACTCTACAAATATACCATACACATTTATATATAATACAGTTTTATTCTTATCTTTATATACTTCAACAACAGACAAAACTATAGAGCAAATGGTTCAAAGAATTAAGTATTTCTTAAACTGAATTTATTCTGTGAAAGTTAAAACTTACCACGATACTTAGTATGGAAAAAGTTGTAAGCGGCATGTTTTAATTATGCCTCTAAACTTTGGTTTCCACTGACGCCATTCAAAATCACGCCATACAAATTCATTCAATATTTGAGTAAGAAAATGTCCGTCGGGGAGATCCCGGCGCGAGGCACCATAAAGTATTTTTAAAGTTTAACACATTACTTCAGGTTTGAGGGCGGAGGGGCTGGAGGGTGTCACGTACCGTGCCTCGTGCTGTCCTCTAACGAAAGTTCCAAAAAAAGCCAGCAACGTGACCCCCATACAAACTTTACTCGTTTCTTTCACTGCTCACGTTTCTGCCCTTTTCGGTTGCAGTTTGCGCAATATTTTTCCAGCGGTAAAGTTTTGTTTGACGACAATTTCAAGTATTGTACGGTTTCTGGTCCTTGTGCTAATATTAGTTAACATTTTTGTTTGTTGAAAAACCTTACCGAAACTTTAATAATTTAATTTCTTCTGATAAACCAGTGAAACTTGAAACTTCAAGTCTATTTACGTTCTGAGCAAACCTTACGTTGTTTAATAGAGTTTTAAAATAGGTCTCTAACCGTGAACTTCATATGTTCATGGTATGACAGAATTGATTACAAGAAACTATTCGTCCTATAGCTAAAATAACTAGTAAAATAATAAATGGACTTTGTTCAATTCGTTATTACGTTATGTTGTGACAATCTGTCACGTCATGAACTTTCTTCGTTGAAAGTGACACGTCTGTGTTACAACTAATTTTCTGGTATGACTCCTCGTAGTCGACGTCTTTGGTTATCAGAGCACGTACAAACATAACTAGTACTTCAGCTAAAAGTCTAGTGTTATTTATGTCACATCGCTAGTGGGGTGCGGGGGTGAGCAACCTCCCCTTGTTGCTCCGCCGGCACATCATGACACGACTGCAAGTCAGGTCACGTCCGTTGGCGAATTATTATTCCAGTAACGTTGTCCGCAAGTAGTGTGGACAAGGACGTCTGAGACCCGACTCGAGCTCAACGGACGCTGATGTTGCGACTGTAAATGTTGACAATTTACGTGTAAAGTGTTTTACGAATACATTATATCGACCGACAAAGTACCAAGACTTCATAGTACACTGGAAAGAGATAATACACATACTAACAAAGAAACATTCTGCAATTTATATGATGATGGGTATAAACGGACGGTAAAAAGATGGAGATTTGAAGCTGAAGCATTGGCTACAACTATGTAGTAATATGTCCAATTTCAAGTCGTCGTAAAGTCGCAAGTTGTCGTAATAGAGTCGCAAGTGGTCGTAGTGGAGTCGCTCGTCTGTCACGCCCCATGATAGCTGCTAGTGCGTCACGTTGCGGAATACAAATAAACAGTTTGTAAGTTGTGCACGTACACGCCGGAGCACGCCGCGAGCCTGCGAGCGTGTTACCACACTATAGTGCACCTTGGTGGCAAGAGGTAGCGGGTGAAAACGCTTGCAGCGATTCATTTTTTTTAATTTAATGGATACAAATTCATTACAAGGCTATTTTAATTTCGATGCATTAAAGCTATTTTAATAACAATGACACGGTGTCATTTAAAATAATTTACCTAAAAACAGTTTCGTATACTTCCCGGGAAATATTGAAGAAAGAATCATCAAATTATTTTCTATATTATCAGTAAAGATTTCTTGTGCCTATTATATATCTAGAGGTCAAGAGGGAATTATTTTTGTTTAGGAAAGATCAGCTGATCTTCATGTGTGTGAACAATCCGGTCGCCATTATTATCGATAGATATAAATCTGAGATCAATTCGCTGAGGGAGCTAATATATGTTGCAATTAGCAACACTTCCGCGTCCATCGCGCACGCTCATTGTCCTAATCTGGTTATGGTCGGCAAAGGTAATGCAATTACTATTCAAGTACACAACAAGGTCGCCTCTGACGTCACGCGTTGTGTGCCGCGATGACGTAACTTTGTCACCGTTACCAAATTAAGGTTGTCAAGTTTATGTAATTGTTCACTTCGTTGTGTATGTGACATGCTTTGTTCACAAGAAATGTACACTCGTTAAGTGGAAGACTTACTTGAGTTATTGGTCTTTGGTTTCTTAATCTCGTTTTATTTGTGTTTTGCGGATTCAAATATAGTTAAAGTTTGATTGCAAAAAAGTAGTTGTTAATACCTATCGATGAGGTGGGCAGTGTAAGCGCAGCCTTAACTTGGCACCGCCCCAACGCTAATCCTCACAGAATAATGGGATTTCTTCTTTTATGAGCCTACCACTTCACTCGACTCCAAAATGCCTCCTTCCGATAATAGACTGATTTACCAACCATTGCTATTTTAAATTCTTTTCATGATTTTTAATATTTATTTTTCTTACAAGACAGTCACGAGATGTTACCGTGGTTGAAACTGTTATCATGCAGAATATGGACTTGATAAAACGAATAACGGTCACGATGCATAAGCGAATTTCAAAGTTTCGCGCAAACATCAACATTTTACAATTTAATCAGTTATAGCCAATCTTTCACATTACGAGTCGCATTTTATTTTCCTCATCGTTTGGCTGATGCAATCGGAACACGTTAGTTTTTTTTAGATAAAGTTGGAACAAATTGACAAAGCAATACAATCAAAGGGTGATAAATAACACCAGTACCTAACTGACATAGGTGTGATGGTAAACAAATATTTTATTTTCATTTCTTCAATTATTGTTCTAAAATAAGCCAGACCTGTCACCTCTCAACGTGTCGTTTGATGGATGGAATGAGAGATCACGTGGCTATGTCACGCTCAGGCGACACGTTGCCGTGATGCAGCGGCCGCGAGCGATAACGCGGGAATGCAGCAGCGTGCTAGCGTGACGGCGTGATGGCTGTCAGCGTGTCGGAGTGGCTATCGCGCGGCCTTGGCATTGGCAATGGAGTTGCGCGCTCGACCGTGCTAATGCCCACATCTATTGCCGCGTGTTTAACTAACACGTCGATAGTTTACACTCTCATAATCAGAGTATTTTTTTTACTCTATTGCTTATGATGCTTATTCTTGATAGATGTAATTTATGGCTTGTTTTTACAGTCTTATGCTACATTCGTCGGGTAATACTCAACTATTTGTAAGTTCATGGTTTGTAAACTCTTTTTGGTAAAATAGTCTCATTCACATTTTGTGAGATATGCTATTGCCTGCCAGATATGTTCTGTAACGAACTC